TTCCGGTTACTTGACATCAAGTTGTTTTTCTCTTCTTATTAAATTTCTACTATTATAGACTTGTTTACATTTTATATCACGAAGCCACTAAATAATGCGATTATTTCATTTCTTCGGTCTTCTCCTGTACGCATCCTATATCTCTTTGCTTTTCGTGTGGCTGCACTGCGCCATCAATTGCTAAAAATTGCTCGTAATCGTTAGAGGAATGAAATGTTTGCAAATGAAATTAAATTCGATCGTACCTAACCACTCCTGATCACTGTGCTGCGTTTCCTCACATGTGTAGCATGTGCATCGGCTGAGGGGCTCGCAAAAAAAAAAAACAACTAAATAAATTTAAAAAAAGATGTATAATAAAAAAATCTTATATTTATTGTCGATCTCAAAAAAAACAAAGCCTTACTGACTACAATTGAAATACTTTTCTCACTTCTTGAAAATTTAAAATGAGAGAAATAACTTTCTCACCCTCTTTTTGTACAATTATTAATAATAATAGTTGTTCAAAGAAAACCAGCTAATCCAGGACTTAGCTCCCATTGGGTATTTGAACTAACAGCTCGTCGAAAGTGTTAAACAGAAAGCGGGAAATAGAAAATGTATTAACAGACAACTAAAGATTTTCAGTAAAACGTCATTAGCGGATTGTCTGTTAGTAGTTCTATTCATTTAAATTCGTTAAAACTTCAGTCTTCGACTACGTTACGGTTCCAAGCAGAATAGTTAACGATTCCTAAGGAAAATACTAATACCAAGTTGAAGACCGTTACGTTTGCCGCTCTGGCGAATGCGAATTTTAATTGTATTGTTTGATATGCACTAAGCGACTGCTTGCAAACAACTGAACCATATAGCCTACCAGCAGCAATGTTCTAGTTAGCTATATCCAAAATTTTGGAAACATTAAGTTTTATGACACAATCGCCTTCAAAGGATCGAATTTGTTAGCACTCCTAATACACGCATACATATATGCAATATGTGTAAAGTAAAATTTTCAATTCATTTTTTATTTTATAATCTACTTTTTGAAGTGAGGGCCATCTTGCTTTCATATTGAGATTTTCCATTTTTTAGCATTTTAATCATTTGTTTTTTTTTTTAATATTGAAGTTAAAAGATTTTCACTTTTAAAGGCACTCGCTTGTGTTCAGTAGCTTATAACCGTTCAAACAATATGACAACAATATAGCGGTAATATGGCTGTGGCTTATACACATGACAGTTTTATATACATGTATCGTATCGTATCTATAGTTGTTGTAGAAACCAGTAA